GAGATGAGGGGAGATATGCGCGCGTGAGCGTGAGCTGGTTCGCTCTCTCTCTCTGTCTCTCTCTCTCCCCCTTCCTCTCCCCTCCCCCCTCTCTCCCCCTCTCTCTCGTCCCCGTTTCCGTATCCCACCGTCTCTCTCACGAACAACAACATGAGCGACACGCGCGGGAATAACGCCGATGACGTCACGTGGCCTCGATTCAGCGATCACGTTGGGCAGGGCTTTATGGCGGCTGACATTCATAAATAGCTAGTGAGTTGTTAACGTTGTCTCGTCGACGCGCGCACAATTAGCAAGATTAGTAGCAATTTATTTCTTAATCAGCGCGTTTAAGCGCAATCCGATCATCACCGACATGTAAGACGGAGGCAGAGGACGCTTGGTGTCGAAGACGGCTTCCTTCTCCTTCCTTCCTTCTCATTTATTGTTCCTTCTTCCTATTTTTCGTCTCTCTTTCTCTCGTTCGCTTTCTCTCTCTTTCTCTCGCTTTTTTGTTCTCTCTCTCTCTTTCGCTTTAGCTTTTTTACCTTCTCTCTCTCTCTCTCGCATCTTCTTTCTCTCTCTCCCTCCCTCTTGCTTCTCCTCTTGTTTTTTCTCTCTCCCTCCCTCTTGCTTCTCCTCTTTTTTCTCTCTCTCCCTCCCATGCTTTCTTTCTCTCTCTGTATGTATATCTTAGTTTTGTCCCTCTCTGTCTCTTTCTCTCTCTTTCTCTCTCTTTCTCTCTCTTTCTCCCTCTCTCTTTCTCTCACTGTAGTTTATTCTATTTCTCTCTCCTTCGCTGAGCGAAATTAGATCTAGCTTTGCATATCAATGCGCCAAACTCGATCGCGGCGTCGCACCGGGCGCGCGTCTGTATTGATACGCGCCGGGAAGCGTCGCTCCGCTAGTTGTTGTCGGCAGGATGAGCTCGGCCGATGCTTCGCCGACGGTCATTGTTTCGGCGCCGGCGCCGACGTCGGAGGGTGAATAGGACGTCGGCTGCCGACGCAACGCTTTCAGAGAGATGATGCTTGGGAAGGTCGAGATGTTAATAGACAGCGAGAAAAAAAGAGAGAGAAAGAGAAAGAGAGCTAGAGTAGAGTGGGGAGTGAGAGAAAAAAAGAGAGGGAAAAAGAGAGAGGCGAGGAGAGAACGAGAGAGCGGGAGAAAGAAAGAGAAAAAGAGAGAGAGAGAGTGGAGGGAGAAAGAGAGAGGGGGAAGAGAGGAAGAGAGAGCGCGCGCGAGAGAAAGGGAGAGGGGAGAGAAGAGAGAGACGAGAGGAGAGGGAGAGAGAGAGATCGAGATAGAGAGAGGAGACGAGCAGAGCGAGAGAGAGAGAGAAGAGAGAGAGAGAAGAGTCTGATAGGATAGAGAAAGAGTGAGATGATGAGATGGAGAGAAGAGAGAGAGTTAGAGCAGAGAGAGAGAGAGAGAGAGCCCGGGGATGGCGAGAAGGGACGCCGAGCCATCCGTCTTCCGACTTTCTCCCCCTTTTTACGCCTTGCGACTCTGCTCTCTATCTCGGTCTCTTCCCAGCGCTCTCTCGTCATTGTCTTTCTTTACCTCCTATCTTTCCTATTTCAATTTTATCTCTCTTCATCCTCGTTTCCTCCATTGCGAGCCGCGCGCTCTATCGCTCGCGGCACCTCGTCCTGTTTAGGACTTACTGCACGAGCGAGACACAGGTCCCTGCCTGTCGGCGTAGTTGAGGTCGTAACTCGCTAAGTGACGTGTACTCAGGCCCTTCGCGGCCCGGCCGTTGGTGCGCGCATTTAGTATATGCACGGGCGTGGTCGGGCGGCGGGTGGCGGAGTGGCGGCAGGGCTCGCAACATTCACACCCGCTCGCCTTCTCTCAACTACGTCACGATGACCCCCCGCGGATCCAACGTGTGCGCCATTGATATGAAAAATGAGGGGGACGGCCGCTCCCGGCCCTCGCCCGGCCCCCGCCTGCCGGGCGCTCTCGCGGCACCTCGGCCGCGCTGGTTTGCCGTGGCCGGGGCGCTGGTGTCGATGCGTGTCGTGCTGTCGGTGTTGTGCGTGTCGTGCGTGGTGGTGAGTGGGGGGCCGCTCTCGGACTGTGGGTGTGGTGCGTTGTACACTGGACCCCGGGCGGGGGCGCCTGGGCGGCGAAGGCACCACGCCCCCGCCGCACGCCCCCCGCCCTGGGGTGCCCGAGCGTCCGCGGTGCGGCGGGTCGCCCCGCGCGCCGGCGCCCTGGCGAGCTCTCCCGCCCCGCGCGGCTTCTGCCACGGGGGGCGCTCCGTGCCCGCCGCCGTGGCCGAATGCCGCCTGCTGTGCGTGTGTGTGTGTATCGTGTGTGTGGTGTGTGTGTGCGTGTGCGTGTGGGCTGATGTTGTGTGTTGAGTGCGTGTGCGTGTGCGCTGTGTGTGTGTGTCGGTGCGTGTCGTGTGTGCTGTGGTGTGGTTGTGTTGTGTGTGGTGGAAGCGATCGTTTGCTTCCTATGGCGTTACAAGACGTTACGACACGCCCTCACTGTAGGTAGGTATACCACATATCTACTTACGTATATTTACGTAGTAGTAGTATATATATATATATATATATATATATATATATATGCAATTTTTGAGTAAAGTTGTACAAAGTGATGCGGATAACGACGAATATCGCGAACCTACATTTCCCTACAATATACACACGTCTCGATACATTTAATGCATTCCTGCTACTTACCGCAGAAGGATATGGTGGCCAAGCGACTTCTCTCCATCGGTGGTGCCCACCATCTCCACATACCGTGACAGCTGGGGTACGTGACACCCTGGTGGCGGAGTTACACAGCGAAAAATCAGTTATTATTGTTAATTATTTATTATTACTATCATCATCGTCGTCGTCGTCGTCGTCGTCGTTTTCCGTAAATTTTAGCTAGTTGATTTAGCAGGAAATCTGTACACACTAGAAATCGAAGAGAAGCTCACTACGACCGATAACGAAGACGTTCACTTGGTTTTCAGACGCACGTAATACTAACTATCCCGATGACGTCGCAAAAATAATAATAAAAAATGATTATAACAGACGCGTGTAGCAGTATACGCGTGGCGGGAGGGAAGGGGAAGGGGTGTGACTCACCTCGACTAGACCTTGAAGGACCCTAACGAAGATAACTAGTTCTATAGAAACCTTGCAGGCCCCCGGTATGAGCAGGTTGAGAAATGCAGACGTGCCGATCGCGACGCCAAAACACCTAAAAAACAAAACATTTCTGTGATAATTTTAGCTAAAAAAAAATACAGGCCTTACAGGATGACACGAGAATTTATTATTATAAATTTATTTTTATTATAGTAATTACAGTGTTTATATTTATGTAATTGTATGTGTTTATGTAAGTATTCATTAATTTTTAAATAATCGAAGCATCAGTCTGGGAAACGTTAATGCCGTTGTAAAAGGATGCTTATCTGTCAATACACAGCGCAAAATGCCCGCGGATGTGTTAAAGAAACAAACGAACGCGATTTTCAAATTATATCTTTTAAAACTCGGAACCTTCATATAACATAGTTGTTTCATCAACGAACCACAGAATGTGCCATTTAGCGATCTCACTTCGTATACAACTAATCTGTGAGATACACGCATAGAAAACAAAACAAAACAAATACAAACAATAGTTTATTATTATGCATCATTACCACGTTATCTGCTTATCTGCATATCTCTACGCGTGCATATTACATATATTATTGTGTATATATGTACATATCTCGCGAGTATATTATCTGTTACCTGTTCGCTGGGAATTTAGCGGCTATGAGCCCGCCAGGTATCTGCGTGATCAGATATCCCCAGAAGAAAGCACTGTCCAGGATTCCTATCTGACTAGGAGACCAGTCAAACTCTGCCGGCTAGTGAGAATCAACCAAAAAGAGTCAGTGAGGCTGGATCAGTTTTATACAAATATATATATAATTACATACGAGGCGCTAGTATATACATATAAATAAATAAATAAATATATATTATTATAATTATATTTACATACACGCGCATCGTACATAATGCACGCATGCCTGCAATTGAATCTCTACCGGAGGAGGAGCAGAGAGCGTTCGTGTGTCGTCGTACAATGACATTGACCGGGGAGATGAAAATGGCATTGGGGAGGTGACAATGACATTGCCGAGGAGATGACAATCGGTGATGACTCTCCGGGGACTTGATGCGAGGAAAGAACGAGAAAGAAAAAATATCGTTATAATCTGTTCCCAGTTCGCTGACGTGCATACACGCGCGCGCGCACGCAGACGTACCTACACGCGCGTGCGCGCACGCAGACGCACCTACACGCGCGTGCGTGCGTGCACGCTGCTATTGCATTCAGGGCTGCGAAGTGAGGGAGTGAGCCGAGGGAACGCCGGGGTGGGGGGGGGGACGCTGGGGCGGTACAGTGCCACTTAATCAGGAACTGTGTCGCGCGCGGGTGACTTGGTGCTTCATTGACGCGTGACCTTGGCTCGTTCGCGCGTATGACGTCACTTCATTCGTGTGTGACGTTATTTTATTCTCGAATGACGTCACTTCATTCACGCGTGAAGTCAGGTGGCTTGCGTGCGACGTGGTGTCAGTCACGTAAGACGTCTACCAGTTCCTATAATAGTGACGTCAGCCCCGCAGCCCTACTACTGACGTCAGCCCCGCAGCCATACTACTGACGTCATTCCGGCAGCCATAATAGTGACGTCAACCCGGCCGCGATAGTGATGACGTCAATTCGAATGCCTCTTGACTGCCATCTACCAGAGGCGACCATGTTATGCCTTCTCCGAGGTTAATATACCGAAAAATTATCCGAAATAGAGAAAATTAGTAGAATTTACCCTGATCTCGCCGGTTCGTTTGTCTGTCGAGTTGTCAATCATGTCCACTATGGCCACGCCCAGGTTGCACCTTATGCCGAACGATATAAGAAATCCCATACTGCTGAGTAGCGCTAGGACATATCTGCAACCAAAGGGGAAGAAAGATTAGCGAGCGGTTCTCTCGCTCTCTCCTTCGCTCTCTCTTTCTCTCTCTCTCTCTCTCTCTCCCTCTCTCTCTCTCTCTCTCTCATCCTCTCTATCTCGCTTGCCTCTCTCTTTCTCTCTCTCTCTCTCTCTATCTCTCTCTCTCTCATCTCATTCTCTCTCTCTCTCTCTCGCTCTCCTCTCTCTTGGTGTCTCTCCTTTCTCTCTCGCTCTCTCTGTCATCTCTTCTTGTCTCTCGTCATTTTTCTCATCTCTTGCTCTTCTCTCTCTGTCTTCTATTCTCTATCTCTTGCTCCTCTTTCTTACTCTCTCCCCTCTGTCTTCCCTCTCGTTCGTCCTCTCTAACTCTCTCTCACACACACCCTCTCTCTATGTGCCCCTCTCTCTGACTCTCTTCTCTCTCCTCTCTCTTCCTCCCCCTCTTTTCTCTCTCTCTTTCTCTGCTCTCTCTCTCTCTCTCTGTCGCGCTCTCTCTTTCTCTCTCTCTCTCTCTCTCTGAAGTTCTCTCTAATCTCTCTTATCTCTTTGCTCTCTCCTCTCCCCTCCTCTAGTCTCTCTCTAACTATCTCTGCACACACACCCTCTGCCCCTCCCTCTTTCTGACTCTCCTTCTCTCTCCCATCTTTCTTCTCCCTTCCCTCTTCCACTCTCGTCTGTCTGTCTCTCTCTCTCTCTCTCTCTCTCTCTCTGGCTCCGTTTGTCTGTCATCTCGCCTAAACTCTCTACTCACACACACCCTCTCTCTGCCTCCATCTCTCTGACTCTCCTTCTCTCTCCCTCTCTCTTCCCCCTCTTCTCTTCTGCTCTCTCTTTCTCTCTTTCTGCGCGCTCTCTCTCTCTCTCTCCGCTTGCTCCGTTTCTCATCTCTCTCTCTCCTCTATCTCTTTCGCTCTCTCTGTCTCTCTATCTATACTATCTCTTGCCTCCCTCTCTCTGTGTCTTATCTATCTCTCTCATATCTCTTGCCTCTCTCTCTCTCTCTGTCTTCTCTATCTTTCTCTATCTCTTGCTCCTCTCTCTCACTCTCTCCTCTGCTCTCCCCTCTCTCTCTGTCTCTCATAACTCTCTCTCAGCACACCCCTTTCTCTGTCCCCTCTCTCGTGACTCTCCGATCCTTCTCTCCCTCTCCTTCACTCTCCTCTCTCTCTCTCTCTCTCTCTCTCTCTATTCTCTTCTCTTACTGTTTGTCTGTCTCTCTCTAACTCTGCTCTCTCATCACACACCCTCTCTCTGCCCTCTCTCTGACGCTCCTTCTCTCTCTCCCTCTCTACTTTCCTCCCTCTCTCCTCTCTCTCTCTCTTCTTTCTCTCTCTCTCTCTCCAATGGTCGCGCCGCTCCTCTTCTCATTCGCTCTATCTCTCTCTTCTCTCTCTCTCTCTCATCTCTCTCTCGTCTTCTTATCTCTCTCTCTGTCTCCGCTGCTCTGTCTGTCTCTCTCTAACATCTCTCTCTCTCACACACACACCGCTTCTCTACCCTCTTTTGATCTCTCTTCTCGCTCCCTCATCTCTTCTTCCCTTCTGCCCTCCCCTTCCCTCCCCTTCCCCTCCCCCCTCTCCTCGGTCTGCTGAGCGCATCTACATTTTCCCCATCCACCATTCTCTAATCTTTAATTCGTGCATTGCGTTCGTTCTGAAGTAAAGAATCAAACAAAAGTTGAACCGTGCAGGCTGATTTATCTGGGAAGGCAAAACTCTCAAGGCGAATACACCGCGAAAACGAAACGCAAAGACGGTTACTCGGTGGTAGAGAGATGACGTATTAATATATCCCGACACCGTCAGTGACGTCACTGTTTGGGACGTGACCCGCTGTGTGATGTGTGTGTGTGTTGTGTGTTGTGTGTGCTGTGTATGTTGTGTGTGTGTGTGTGTGTGTGTTGTGCTGTGTGTGCTGGGTGTGCTGTTGTGGTGGTGGGCTGCTGTGTGTGTGGGTGTGATGGTGTGTTGTGCGTTTGTGTGTGTGTGTGTGTGTGTGTCGTGTGTTGTGTGTGTGTGCTGGTGTGTGATGTGGTGTGCGCCGTTATGGCAAGCCTTTGTATATCATAATTCGCAGAAAACACGGTTGCCTCGCACGAAACCAGGCTTTTCGGTGCTCACAAAACCTAGTTCTGCTTGCTCAAGAACCAGGGTTCATTGCCATGAAACTAGGGTTTCGTGGCCACGAAACCCATGGGTTTCATACACTATAAACCGCCCAAAGTTATAGCTGGAAATCTTAGTTTTCTTGCAACAGAAAAACTAGTGTTTTGGAAGCAGAAACCTTGGTTTCAGCAAGAAACCCACTTTCAACCCCGGCCATTTGTATCATTAATTCGGAAGCGAAACCACCGTTCCTCGCACGGAAACCAGCAGTTTCGTGCCTACAAAACCTAAGTTTCTTTTGCCATGCAAACTATGTTTCATGGCATGCCAAACCCTGGTTTCTAGCCCTTAACCGCAGCATGGATAGCTGGAATCTAGTTTCTTGAGCAAGGAAAACTTAGGGTTTTGGGAGCAGAGCAACCTAGGTTTCCAGCAAGGAAACCCACTTTCAACCGCGCCATTTGTAGTCATATATTCGAGAAACCGACGGTTCCCCGCACGAAACCACGTTTTCGTGCTCACAACACTAGTTTCATTGCCTCAAGAAAAACCAGGCGTTCCTTGTCATGAAAACTAGATTTTCGTGGCCACCGAAACCTGGTTTCTAGCCTAATAACCGCAGTATTAGCTGGAATCTTATTTCGGTGCAGCCAGAAACTAGGTTTGGAGAAGCAAACTAGCGTTTCACGAAACCCACTTTCCAACGCGCCATTTGTATCGTAAATTACGAGAAACCATCAGTTTCGAGGCGACGAAACCAGGGGTTTCGGTGCCATCACAAAACCAGGGTTTCTTGCGCCCGTTTGAAAACTAGGTTTCATGGCATGAAACCTGGTTTCTTAGCCCTATAACGCAGTTATAGCTGAAATATTAGTTTCTTGAGCAAGAACACCTAGGTTTTGGGCAGCAAGAAACCCTCTCAACCGCGCCATTTGTATCATATTCGAGAAACCATAGTTTCGAGCCGACAGAAACCTAGTTTCTCGTCGTTGCTAAGGCCCGTAATTCTAGGATTCGTAATCCGACGGTACATCAGACGTTACTGATTCAGCCACTCGGCAGGCACTGCTCAGTAAATACCTATAGAAGATAAACATACTAGTTCTAGGCTAATTAATTAAAGACTTGCATATTAAATAAATTAATATGCTTGCGCTATTAAAATGCTATGAGAGTGTACGTGCGTGTATCTGCGTGCTTACCCGCCGTGCACGTGCGTGTACCAGCGTTGTACGGGCGTGTGCCGCGTGTACCCGCTGTACGTGCGTGATACCCGCGAGCAGACGCGTGTACGCTGCGTGTACCGCGTCTGCCAAAACGCGTTACGTGCGCTGTACCCACGTGTACCGGCGTACACGCACGTAGCACGCACGTGACACGCGTGTCACGCGCGGTATGCACGCACCTAGACGTGGATACACGCGCACGTCACACGCTGGTACACCGCACGTCACGCGGGTAACACGCAAACGTACACGCTGGTACACGCACGTAACGGGCATCAGCGACGAGTCAACACGCACTACCAGTAACCACGCACGTACACGCACGTTTACACGCGGGTACACGCCACCGCTACACGCACGCATACACGCTGCGTACACGCACCGTGGCAGCGCGCGGCACACGCTCGTACACGCACGTACACGCACGGTAACACGCACGTACACGTGGTACACGCCACGTGCCACGCGGGTACACGCACGTGCACGGCACGGTACATGTAGGGGTACACCGCGGTACACGCACGTACACGCTGGTACACGACACGCAGCCACGTGCAGCGCGCGGCGTACACGCTCGGTACACGCACAGTACACGCGCGGGGTACACGCACGGTGCACGCCGGTGTCACGCCAGATACACGCCACGATACAGACTCTCATACATTTAACTAGCACAGCATATTTAATATTTCATAGCACATATTTAATTAAATTAGCCTAACACTAGTATGGTTATTTCTATAGTATTTACACCTGGGAGCACCAGTGCGACCCCGGAGTGGGCTGAACTACGCAGAACGTGCAACGCCTCGGGAATTACGAACCTAGATAAGCGGGCCGCGTTGAAGCACGATACGAAAACTAGGTATTCGAGTCGCCTTCGAAACTATGCGTTTCTCGAATATATGATACAAATAGCACCGCGTTGAAAGTGGGTTTCCATTGCTCGCCAAGAAACACTAGTTTCTTGGCTCAGAAACTTGAAGATTCGAGAGCTATAACGGCGGTTGACAGGGCCCCTAGAAACCAGGTTTCATGCCATGAACCTAGTATCATGGCAAGGAAAACCTGGTTTTGAGTGAGATGAAGACCTGGGCCGTTCGTCGCCTCGAAAACTTATGGTTTGCTCGAATCTATGATTACAAATGGCCGCGCGTTGAATTGAAAGCTGGGGTTAATCTTGCCTGCAAACCTAGGCGTTCTGCCTCCCAGAAACATAAGTTTCTGGACCTCAAGAAACTAAATACCCAGCTATATAGAGAACTGCGGTTAATAGCGGGCTAGAAACCAAGCGGGCTTTCGTGCCACGAAAATCTAGTTTCATAGACAGACCCCTGCAGTTTCTTGAAAGCAAGAAATAGAGATAATTCTGTGAGCCGAAACACCTTGGTTTGACGAGTGCGAGACGCAGGAGCGAACCGTCGGATTCGTACAAATTATGATACAAATGGAGCGCAGGCAGTGCTTGGTGTGTGGCTACTGATGTGTGTCGAGCTGTTGGTGGGTGTAGATGTGGCTCTGCTGTGTGTGTGTGTGTTGNACACACACACACACACACGCACGCACGCACACACAGGCCCCTCTTCCCCACAAACGATGTAGTTATAGTCATGTCTATACATTTGTGTACACTAACTAGATGTCCTCAAACTGACAGTAACAGCTCATGATCAATCGTGCCCTGGAACCGCAGCGGTGACGTCACGCGCAAAAGTGGCCCCGATGTGTTACGCAGGCTTCAGAAACCTTGTTTGGCGCGCGAGCAAATAGAATAACGCTTCCAAATATAATCTTCAAACGCAGCCACTCCCGTTGTATATATATATATATATATATATATATATATATATATATATATATATATATATATATACACGTACGTAAAGAATTGTCGGTGAAATGTGTACTAGTGCTACTTTGCCGCTTTACCGGGGGCCATGGTTTATTCATGCACTAAGTATATTTAGTTTTACGGCCGCGCCTCGGCGATTGGCGATAAAAAAATAGTGCCGAAATCTCGGCGAGTTTTGCGGAAGCGATTTTTCTCGCAGCGCGGACGTAGGTGTCACTTTCCCCCGGCCGTAGATTGAGGCGTCATCACGTGTTATGATCATCTTGCCGAAGGCGTTTATAATATTTTCCTATATTAATATATTATTATATAATTATAAACCCCTATTTCCCTAACATAAAACCTAACTAACTTTAATACTAACAATAACTAATCTTACTTAATTTAACGATAGGCTGCCACGTTAAGTCGACACTAATCTACGCCGGGGAAAAGTTATTCCGCGACGTAAGGCGGTGTGACGTCCCGACGATTTACGCGGCTCCGTCGTTCGATTTGTATCACTCCGCCAGCGGCACATCGTTGAGCGTCTCTCCGTGGAACAATTCAGAGAAACAGAATCCAAACTTTCGCAAAACGAAAGAAAAACGTAGAAATTTCACCGCAACCTTAAAACGACCTTCAGACGAATGCAGTGCCTTTTTAGTTGAGCTATACGCCGCTCTAGCAAACGTAACGGCGGCGACCTTGTCACACAGTCGTTTGTTATGCCAAAGAGCTTACAATGATAATTATACTTTTTGGTTATGCTCACGCGCGCGCTCTCTCGCTCTCTCGTACACTTTACCTTTTGCTTAGATTAAACGGACAGACGATCCTACAGGGCAGGCCTTTCTTCCCCGGCGGGCATTCCAACTCATCTACCTCTTCGTGCTTGAGTAGGCTCTTCTCATCCTGCTGTCTGCCAAACAGCCTGCGGGACGAAGCGAAGCAAAGATAAGACGAGAGTATGTTTGCGTGCGTGCGTGCGTGCGCGCGTGCGTGCGTGCGTGTGCGAGCGTGTGCGCAGCATCCGAGGATAAACGCCTGGGAGAAATCGCGCTGAGTGCACGGCGGAGAGGAAGACAAAGCCATGAAAGTTAAATATTGTAAAAACCGAAAAGGCAAGTCAGTGGCGAGAAAAAAAGAAAGAGATAGAGAGAACATGTACACACAGAGAGAGGGGGAGAGACAGACTGGGAGAAACAGAGAGAGAAGATAGAGAGAGAGAGAGAGAGAGAGATGAGAGAGAGAGGAGAGAGAGACTGGGAGAACTAAAGAGAAGAGGAGACAGAGAGAGAAGAGAGAGAGAGAGAGAGAGAGAGAGAGAGAGAGGAGAGAGGAAAGAGAGAGAGAGTGGAGACAAACAAAGAAAGAAGAGAGAGAGAAGAGAGAGAGAGAGAGAGAAGAGAAAGAAACAGAGAGAAAGAGAGAGAAGAGAGAGAGAGAGAGAGAGAGAAACGAGAGACTGGGAGAAACAAGAGAGAGAGAGAGAGAGAGAGAGAGAGAGAGACAGAGAGAGAGATAGAGAGAGAGAGGAGAGGAGAGATAGAGAGCGAGATAGAAGAGAGGAAGAGAGAGGGAGAGAGGAGAAAGGGAGAGAGAGAAGTGTGAGAGAGAGCGTGGGAACGAGCTAGAGAGAGGCGAGGGAGAAGAGGAGAGCGCGCGAACGAGAGAGAGAGATGCGCGAGGAGAAAGCGAACAGCGAACGAGAATGAGAAAGAGAGATTAGAGGCGGAGAGAGAGAGTGAGAAGAAAGAGAAAGCGAAGAGGAGCGAAGAGAGTAGAGAGAGAGGCGAGAAAGAAACGACGAGCGACAAGTAGAGAGAGAGCGAGAGAAGGAGAGAGAGAGAGAGAGAAGAGAGGAGGGAGAGAGAAGAGGAGAGAGAGAGAGAGAGAGAATAGAGACTACCCCCTGGGAGATAACAATACAGAGAGAGAGAGAGAGAGAGAGGAGAGAGAGAGAGAGAGACGGAGAGAATACCGGTTAGTTATCACGTGGTTATAAGACCGTTGGTTGTTTAGCAGTATGCGCGAGCCAGGGGAGCTTAAACATCTCACAGTCAAGAATTAGCGAAGCTGCCTTTCTGGCAATGTTATAAGCTTCAGTCGCACCTATTAAAGCTATACCACTGTAATCGATATTTTAACTGAAACATCAACCAGATGCAAGCACACAACAAACAACACACAAACCAACGCCACGCACACACATACATCACCACAGACACACATAACACCACACACGGCAACAACACAACACACACACTGCACACCACATACCCACACAACACAACACCACACCCAAAAAAAACCAAACCAAGCACAGACACACATCGGACACACCCACAGGCACACACCATACATGACACACACACACACACATCCCAGCGCGGCGCTACACACGCACACACACAGGAGGCAACACACAACAACCACAACACACACACACACACATATTATATATATTATATATATATATATATATATTCCACACAGGGACAGTTACATAAGACACTGACTCTCATAATACTCTAACAGCTCTTAAGGAGTTAGCGCACGATTGCCTGTGAACATTGCGCTTTTCGCGTTTTCGCTAGACGTAACCGTATAGTAGTATCTAGTACTCTCTATAGTCTCATATTTCATAGTCTGCATAGTCTCTAAGCGCGTGTAGTTTCTTTTACAATCGACTGGCACAATGTAGTGTGTATGGCAAATCTGTCGTACTCTCCTTCGCTTCCTCTCGTTCTTGCCTACATGTCCTCTTCCTCTCCTTCTTCCGTTCCTCCTCCGTCTTCTCTTCTCACTTTCTCAGTTCCCTTTTCCTCTCCTCCTCCTCCCTCCCATCTCGTCCATCTCCCTCACTCTTCCTCCCTCCTTCCTCCCAAGCTTGCCTCGATGGCTGTCCGTTTTTCCTCGCCCCTTCCCAGCTACGCCGCTCTACCGAGGAGGGAGGTTTCGTTCGGGAGTCATATACAGTCATAACGGCAGAGTCGGCAGCGTGCGGGAGGGGGGAGGGGGCGATACGATCTCGCTGGCTCGCTTCCGCACGTCCGGCGCACGCAGTATAGGTTTCTATGGAGGAACGTCGGTTAGCATTGATGCCGGCGGCCGACGAGCGATAATGTAAAGAAAAACGATATGATTTGGTCAACACGGATGGATGGTCGTTGTATAGAGGAAGGATGGAGGCGATGGTGGGCTGTGACGGAGGGAGGCGATGGGAGGAAGGAGGGAGACGATGGTGGGCTGTGACGGAGGGAGGCGATGGGAGGAAGGAGGGAGA